CACACACACACACACACACACACACACACACACACACACACACATACACACACTCACGCACACACAATCAATCAATTAATCAATCAATCAAATTGATTGATTGATTGATTGATTGATTGATTGATTGTGATTGGTTCATTGATTGATTGTGTGTGCGTGTGTGTGGGGGGGGGCTAGTGTTTTGCCACTGGCCCAACAAACCAAAAATGTGAAGGAAAAAAAAAATCATCACCGGTTTTATTTTTTTAAATTGTTTTTTATTTCCATTTTCGTTTTTTATTTTTTTCCCTTCCATTAGATGTCACAATAATTTATTAAAAATCATAGGCGTGTAGAGTTTTTTTTTATTTACACGCCCATTTTTATTTTTATCTTTTGCCTATTTTTAGGCCCCGAAAAAATTCTCGGGGTTTCATGCCCGCACTCGGCCGCGGGTGGTCAGCCGCCGCGGGAGGGATCCCGACCGTCTGAGGTAAAATGGCCCACGGTCGCGACCGCGGGTAATACATAGTGCAAGAGAGATGTTCATGTCCACCAGTCACATCCTTGAAGAAGAGGGCCCCACCAGATGTTGTAGTACTTACCTCATCATCGTGTAGCCACCGAAAACTACAGCTATGATCTCACCATCTCCAAACAACCAGAGCCTCCCAAAGCCTCCTCCTCAACGTACCTATACCATCCCGCTTGCGTCCAACCCTTCCCCAACTTCCAACGCCGCAACGTGCCTTCGCGCTGGGGCCGCCAACCAGCTGTGTATTGCGTTTCGTGTTCCTGCGCCCTGAAGTGCAGCGCTCACGGTAGCTTTGCACCCCCCAATCTCTATCTGATGTTGGGCGACCATGCAAAGTGCAGTATACACCATGGGCCACCCCCACTTGATGAGTTTTCTCCAGATTGGGTTCATTACAATTTGGTATCGGAGCTTACCTCTTCGTCGCGATCTTCTGTGGCGCGCGAAGGTAAGTACGGGGTGGTGCGTGCTAGGTTGAATCGCGTCTTTTGACGCACGCAATTAAAATCGCGATCTGGACACGGAAACGCACGCGAACCTACCTGTTGAAGATGATGACGTGGACCTGTTGAAGACGAAGACAGCGACAAACAAAGGATTCATGAAAATCTAACAAAAACAATTGTTTGGTTTGCACAAAAACTTTTAATGTTTTTTATACTACGTTTTTCACGCCTCCTACATTAACAAAATTTTATGTGAAGTGAATTAACCGCAAAAAAAGGAATAGAAATGTACTTTTTCATAACCACTGGAAGTGGTGACAAGAGAAGCATGTTTTTTTTTTTTTAATCACTACCTTTCAAAGCATCATTTGTTAAGGAACTGACATATCCTAGTTTTTTGTTTATCTTTAAAAATCATATTTATAGTTTTATAGGGTATGTAGCATAACGAACCTATTCGGGGGTTTCCCAAACATGCACGCATGTTCTCCCGTTCACGAATACGTTCGTTTGGATATGTTTTCTCATACACGGACGAATACATTGTTTTTTAGTGTTTTTTATTAAAATATTTTTCCATTTTTTAATTTGAAATTGTGGTTGGCTGAGAATTTGAAAATTTCTCCCAAGCGTTCTTTCATTTTTCCTTTACATAACATTATTTTTTTACAAGGTTTTTACAGATAAATTAAAAATGGACTTATCTTAATTTATAGTTCTATAAACGAGTTTCCGCAAACCTTGGTTTTTACCAAACTGCTGAAAATGACTTATAGTTCTATAAATGAGTATTCATTCAAAATATTTTTTTTAACATTTTTCGAGTTCGTCTT